ACGCAGAAGTCGAAACGTCAACCATTACTCGTCGTCGCGACGTGACGCTGGGTGCCAAAACCATAACTTCAAGGGCAAACCTTCAAGATTCCGACCAACTGCGATCTCTGCGGCGAGAGGATCTGGGGCTTGTCTGCCAAGGGGTTTGACTGCAGGGACTGCGGCTATACGTGCCACAGCAAGTGCGAGATGAAGGTGCCCGCCGACTGTCCTGGCGAGCAGACGAAAGAAGATCGCAAGAAGCTCAAGGCGGAGCGGCAGGGTGCCGCAAATGCGCTGCTCAAGCCCTCCAATGGGACGTCAGGTCACACGGCAGAACTACCGAGCCTCAGCAGGACAAACACGATGAACTCGTTGAGCTCAGGATATGCACATAGCGCCCAGCGATCCGTTTCCGGCTCCATCTCGGGCCCCCGATCACCGATCGATGAGACACCACCGCCAGTTGAGCCGACGAGCCCAAGACCGACTACGGCCGCAGCATCGACCGTCAGTACGGCGACGGTGCGCAAAAACCGCATCATGGCCCCGCCTCCGACTGCATACGTCAGCGAGCTGCCTGGCAGTGCTCCCAACGGGTCATCGTCGAGCGCAGACCACCAGAGTGGCAAGATGCTGTATGGTTTCGAAGCCTCGGGCGATGGAGAGCTCAGCGTAGCCGAAGGACGCGAAGTCATTCTGCTCGAGCCTGATGGTACGTGGGAGCCATTCACGACTGACACTTTGACTGCTACTGGCACTGACATGATCTGCAGATGGATCGGGATGGCTCAAGGTTCGTGCCGGCTACAAAGAGGGCTTGGTGCCGGCCACGTACGTCGAGATTATGGCAGCACCGACTCCGGCACCAGTCATAGCACAACACACGGGAGCTTCAGGCCGGCCAGACTCGACGTATAGCAACTCTGGGTCGTCCGTTGGGACTGCGGGCATGGCGAAGAAGAAGGGGCCAGCGGTGGCGCCGAGGCGGGGAGCGAAGAAGCTCAAGTACGTCGAGGCGATTTACGAGTACACAGCACAGAGCGACACGGAGCACAGCATGGTCGAGGGAGAAAGGTTCGTGCTCATCAAGGAGGATCCAGGCGACGGATGGGCCGAGGTCGAAAAGGGGGGTCAAATCAAGAGTGTTCCGGCGAGCTACGTGCAGGTCGTCTAGGAGGCACTTGCAGCGGGGGAGAAGGAGGAGGGCGGCCGAGGACTGTGTGGCCGCGAGACGGTCGGATCGCCGCGCCGTCAGGCACAAGTCGAGGCCACCGCGGAGAATCATCGGAACCGAAGTACGCCGACACGAGCGGTTCGGGGCCAGACGGCTGCTTCAGCCTCAACATGGCGCGCCGAGGGATTGACGAACGTAACGAGTGTACGGCTGGTACGGCGCGACTCGGGACTCCGAGAGCGACGCATGAAACGGCGGAGCGAGCATGGGACATGGTTGGCGCCGACGTGCCGAGCTATTGATTGATGGACGGAGCAGGCAGTCTTTGAACCCAAGGGCTGGGCCGGCACATTGTATCATGTACGTGCATGACCCGAGTATAAACGCATGGCAGAGCAGCCATCCATCGGCGCAAGGCGGGAGGTCACGGAAAGGATGGGGGGCTGGCTGTCTGTCACCTTGGTCGCCTTGGTGTCACCTTAGCTTGGTGTCACCTTAGCTTGGTGTCACCTTAGATTGTAGTTTCTGATCACACATTCATTCAGTTTGGGGCACTGACTTCTGGGTTCTGGCAATGCCGTGCGACAAACCGGCCATCGGGGCCCTGCCAGTGAGGTGACAAGGGCTCAACCTGATCGGGGCGCGCCCAAGTCGGATGGGTGGGCGGCGACGATGGGACGCCATAGCGCGTGCGCGTCATCGTAGGAGGCTAGCAGCAGCGGGAGCATCGTCAAACAAGGTGCCTCGAGCAATAAGGTACAGGTAAGGTATGTTGCGGCGCAGCGGGTGACGATGCACTGGCGCAAGCTCCTTTTCCAGGGAGAGCAGAATGGGGGGGCCAATGACGGGTTGGCAGTGGACAGAGTGGACAAGGGGGGGGGGCAAGCTGCCCACCTACGATGGTTACTGTGCTAAGTACTTGGGTAGGTACCTACGGTAAAGGTAGAGTAAGGACCTACCAGGTAATCAAGGGTAATCAAGGTAGTAGGATCAATTGAACAGGAGCTGTTAGCTGGTGTTGCAGGGGTAGGGGACCAGCCGAGCTTAAATTTTAAGGACCGACCTGGTTTGCCTGCCTCTCTGTATGCAGAGACCAGGCTCTTCCATTTTGCCACGGACAAACCGGGGATGACGGAGCTAAAATTGCGGTCGACCGGAAGTTGATTGTTGTTTTCCTTGGCGCACCACAAAGTGTGTCATGATTCCCGAGGCGAAGAGGCCGATCAATCTTGGATTGGCATGCACAGCCCCGATAACTAGGACCGCATCGAATGGGCGAAAGTATTTGGGGAGGAGAGGGGGGGGGGGGCCAGGACTTTGATTTTATTATTGCCCTCTCAGACGGCCGTTGCTGCTGGCTGGCGTCTTGGCTGAACAAGCGAGAGAAGACGCGTCGTGGGTGCATATCGTATTTTCTCGAAACCGATGAGCGATGCGGATGGATGTGTGTGCCAATGCGGGCCCCTGGTTGCATGGCGACTGGCAGCGATGTTGGGACTAGTGCGTCATTAAGGTTGGTGACAGGGGGGCACGTTAGTGGCGGGAGCTCGTTCATTGGGATCTAGGTGGCCGGCGATAACAGGTACCACAAATTGGACGACCACCGCTACTTTCTGGGAAGTATGGCGAGTCAGGGGGGAAGAACAATGTCCAGCTGAC